AGTTGTTGTTGTCCTTAATATGCACTCAAACTTTCTGGAAAAATGCTGGAAAAATGGTCTCCTTCATCGTTCCAATATGGTATAGCCACTATACTGTGTAGGGAAGATGGGGACTATTTTTCTCGAAACTTCGTGTGCATATTAAGGACAACACCAACTCGCCACATGGTATCCTGTGGTGTCGCAATGGGGTGTGTTGTCATAGCAGCACTGGTCAGAGTCTATATTACACACGTATCACAATTTTATGAAGTTTATGGCGCACATTTTTTCCAAGTAATGATCTTTTTCTATACATTCTTTAAAGATGGTTTTGGCTGGTGAGTGTTATTTGTCTATGTCCATTCTATTTAGTGCTGGGGGCGTTGAACTGCTTGCCAAACAAGGCCGGATTAAAGTGGTGAACACGCTAGAGAGCCGATTGGAAATGATGAGTAGACAGGTATGTAGGTTATGATTGGCTTTTCGAAAGACGTTTTGCCGTCAGGAGATGCTGTTTTTCAACTATTCTTTGCATTCGTATGCCTTTTTATGTACATATATGTTGTAGTTAATTTTTTCATAATGTATGCTAACGAAGTTAAAACAAAGGAAAAATATAAATTACCTGCGATAAAAAAAATTAATTACAACATATATGAAATACGTGTGCTTGTTTTTGGGTTGGGAAAACTTAAGAAATCAGTGAAAAATGATAATACCTTGTCACGGATCTCAAAAGTAAAAATTTTATCTCGTCTCCAGCATCATCTGATTACAAAACAAAAAAGAATAATTTAGACTCTGTTTTCATTGCATTTGCAGATGATGCCCGAAATTAGAGAAACATTATTTGGAGTTAATACACGAAGAGTGTTCACAGACTGATGTAACCGTGACATGTCCTGCAGTTTTCCTTCTTCTGCTCTTTCTTAAATTTATGTCTGCTTTCTCCTATCAATTAAGTATATTGCTTTTTGGTCCAGGGGGATGGGAGGAGAGAGATGGTCGTAAAGGATTTAAACATAGGCGTGTTTTATGTTACGAGCAGAATGATTTCCAAAGCACAGAGAGCAATCTTTGATCACAAACACCTTTGGTCTGAAGCCATTTACTCCAAATCGATAGAAATTGACTGTAATTTGCTGGAAATATGATGTACAAATGCTTGTCTTTTCTTTAGTGTTGCGGAATGAAAGGGCTGCTTTCAAGAACTGTATTCACAAAAATTATGAGGTGCATGAATAAATTAAAGAATGAAACTCTCAATAAGCAGCATTATCGTCCTTAATTCGCGCCCCTTTGTCTCCCGGTCACAAAAGCACACATGTTAAACTATACGTTAGCACATTCACACCACAGCCATTCCCCTCCCTTTTACTACCTTGTGATGTCATCTTTTTTAATCGTCATAGACCAACGTAGTTCCCAGGGTTCTCTCCCTTCCTTCCTCGAGGGGGGCAGAGACGGAACCCTGGGAACGAGGTTGGCCACAGACTCCTTATATTTACACCTATGTTCTGCAGGGACGACAGCATCTATCGAACTATTTTCAGATGGCGGCGGTTTAGTTAAAAAGGTCGAAGAAAAAGCAGAAAGAAAAAAAAGGTAAAGTTGACAATGAAATTTTGTTCCACTTTGTCAGCTTTACTTGCATTAAATGTCCGTTAAGGGAAATGCGAAAACCGGTGTAAGTGAAGCAAAAGACGCGGAGCGAAGATGAAGCTTAAGGTGGAAGTCGAACACCAGAAGCTGTCCACACTTATCCAGATATTTTGAAAACGGAGATATTTTTTGTCCGTTTTCAAAAAATACGCGTTGACACGTAGCGTATTTGAAACGCTTTCGCCCGTCCACAAGAAAACGACAGAAATACGTTCACCGGCGAAAAATGTAAAAAGTCGTAAAAAATTGCACAAGATCGATTAGGAAATAATATATAGATTTAGCCAGGGCTAAAAGCGAGGCTCCCATTAATAAATTTATAATTTAAATTAAACAATAAACTTGTATTCGAACTCCACAATTCAGTTAACTTTAGAGCACATTTATGTGACTTTTGAGGGAAAGGCTACCTGATTTTAGAGAAAAATAATTTGCAAACAGCCCAAGAGTGAACCAAATCTTACATCGAGTTGATAGCCTCATATGTACACCCAAAAACTGGTAATCATCTTCGATCACATTTAAGAGCCATAATGGCTCTTGATCACCGTAGATTAATTAGTGGAAAAAAAAATCAGGCCAACTTTTTTGCGTTCGACAAGTTTACTTTGCAAAATCTTGTCAACAAATCTGGGTGCGTGTAAACCAACCTTTTATACCATTTATACATCACATCTGAGGTGAAACAGTAGTATGAGGCACTGTTTTTATCATACCGGCAGACCTCGGACAGAAAGCAGTATTTCACAATACAAATTGCACTCATTCAATATTCATAAACTGTTAAAAAAATTTCCAAAATCACCTATACGGCCATCCGGTTCTCACTTTTGTAGTGCGAGCTGTGGCGAGTGTTTGAATGAACATTAACAGAGTTACGCTCCAACATTATAAAGAATTTATTCTGTTTATTTTTTATTTAATGGTTTATTAACGCGCGGCATTTTGAGTACTCCTGCAAGCGATGTTCACTGAACGACTGAAAACAATCGGCACAGCGATTAAAATTACAAGAGAGACTACTAACAATCAATAAAAGAAATATAATTCGGTGAAACATATACAGAAACAACAATTTTCATTCAGGAAGACAAGTATTAAAGTATCCCTAAAAATCCTGAGTCTTCAAGCTTCAAGCTTAAGTTTATGTTTTAAGCCGGCTTCCCGGTGTTTGCTTTTTTCAAAGACGAACTCGAGGCAAGAAAATCGCTCAAAGCTTTCTTTTCCGGCCAGAATTATAACTAAATATTCTTTGGAACGTTTTCTTTCTATTTGCGGTGAGAAACTGTCTAAAGGCTTTTTAAAGTTCTGTAAGCTTATATCAAACCTGATACTCGGTCAGATCATTGTCTCAAATCTTACAAACGTGCATAAACTAAATGACCGCATAAACTCCGCTCGACTTCATTAAATTAGATCCAAAAAAACAAACATCAAATACAATAATTTCTCTGGCTTACCATTCGAGATGCAGCTCCTGAAAGGTATCAAGAAAAGCCAGTATCGCTTCAGACTTTGCAATCCTCTTACGCATCAAGCAAGGTGAAAACGAAAACGATGCCATCCGAAATCGGATTTCCGACTTTGACAAGCGACGTATTCCTCAACCAAAAACCCAATAAACAAACTAGCCATGAATAACAGAGGACTCCTGATAGCAGCTGAATTTCATTTTGCACATCCAGTGGAAAAAGACAGTTAAAAACATCACAAGTTGACACAAAACTCTGTCAGCTTCAGCTGTCAAAGTAAACAAGATTCAAGATGCTGCATAAATTTTCCGCATGAACTCACCTGTCAAATTTTGACCAATCAGAGCATAAAAATTGGACGTAGAGCGTGACCAACGCGTGACCATGGTGAGAAAAGTCAAAAGCAACTGTCTTCCCTGCCTGTAACAGCTGGCTGAATTTTCGCGTCCGAGGTCAGTTTGCAATCAAAATTTTAACTGTGTAGCACATAAACACAACATATTTCTTATGAATTTAGAAAAAACTTGAACTTGAGCCTGCGATCACTTGAAAACTAGTAACTTGTCAGCGGATAACTTCAAAAAAATACTTGACCTCGATGGGTCGACACCTGAGCCTGCGATACGGTCAAGTGATACTGGTCAGCGGGTACCCTGTTTTGACAGCTGTCAATTGATCAAAACATTAATGTCCAATATGTGTGCATTATCAGTTTAACTAGTAAAAGTATGAGATTGAACATTGTTCGCGATCTAGTAAAACAATTAACTGGTCAGCGGACAGCTTCCAAATAAATCACGTCACCTCGATGAGTTGACACATGAGCCCGCGATATGGTCATGGGATACTGGTCAGTGGCTATCCTGTTTTGACAGCTGTCAATTGACCATATTGTGAATGTCCTAAAATCCTATATTAAAGATGTGGACTTGCCAAGACACGCCTGAGACACCCCTCCCTTCCTTTTGATAGTCTCCCCTACCCCACCCGTACGATCTGTAGACGCGTACGTACGTATGTACGTACGTACGTACGTACGTACGCTCGGTCAATCACGTGACAACCAAACGAAAAGAGGTTGACCATATTCCATGAGTATGGGGCTCTGTCCCACGGGAGCCCCGCTACGATCGAAAACCTCCGTTTTCTTCCGTCCACGCGCAAACTTTACCTGGCGTTTTCAAAAATCTCCACTCTGGAGAGCGTTTTTGAAAAAAAATGCTTTTTCATTAATAACCGTTTTCACTAGCATAGTGCTCGACTTGAGAACAATGTTTGGGCGATTTTGCTTCTCTTTGCAAAAAAACAGAAAAGTGCTCAATTTACACTAAACGACGCTTTAAAAAAATATTTCTCGGGATGAATAGGTCAGTAGGTCAATTTATGAAGCTGTCCGGGCGGTTCTAAACTAGTTGTCTCTAAACATATTTTTATTTATACACTTACATGTAATTCTCTTTTACTGTGTGGAATATTTACAATTTCATAAATAAAGATAATATTTTGAAACCCAAATTCATACATATTTACAATGTTTCTAAAAGAAATTACCTAACAGTTCTCATTTTCTGCCTTAAGTAACCCTGAATGTTTGAAATATTTTTCCCAACTGTTTGGTTTTTTTAGTATTTTTATAATTAATATTATTTACCAAAAAAATGAGAGAATAATTTATTGTTCACCAGGTAGTGAACCATTCTTCAATAGTTTTTTCCATTTTTTTCCCAGAAGTAATCCTCTCCGAATACTTTCAGCAAATTTCCCAAACGTTCTCACCCATGCCTCTGATGGTTTACTTGGAAAATCTGTCTATCGTTCAACGATGTCCCTTTACTTAATTAGTTATGTTTGAGATTGCGAAGTATGTTTAGTCATTTAGACCCGTCATACTTCAAGCCCCATGATTCTTTCTGCCACTCCCAAGAAGTAAACGGTCTGAGCTATTCCAAACAGTGGAGCTATCACGATCATTCTGGGAACTGCTCCTTTGTAGAACGCCCTTAGGCCCTCGTTGGTGTAGGTTTTGTGTACGCAGTCGACAAACCCGGTATACATCGCTTCTCCTTGGCCACTCCTTATCACCTGAAGCCTGGTCTTTACTACGTCCATTGGTGTCACTGTAACACTGCCTATCATTCCTACGTAAACATGGAGGATCTGCGTTGATTAACACAATCTAACTCCAGTAGCCTGCGGGCGAGATTGTCTTTAACATTTCCCGATATCTCCCAAATGGAGAGTTTGCTGGAAGGCTAAACTCCAGCAGCAGATAAACTACTTTCTTTACGTTTAAGAGGGGGGTGGAGGGGGGTGGGATGGGAGGGAAGATGAAGGTCAGGGACTTCAAACACAGGCCTATTCACTCTCAGTCATTTGATGCCATCTCGAACCCTACTTGAGGAAAAGACTTTGATGATGATCATTAATGTCGTGGGAAAAGTGATCAAAACCGGTGGGCAGTTAATAGTATTAGCGAGGGACTTGATATCCTGGACTTAATAACACCTATTAGAGATTGGTTTTCAGTAATGGCCAGGCTGTACAATGCTAGCCTCCTACCGTTCTTTGTATCATCACGTGAGTAGGTCATTTAAAGGCCCATGAGAATTAGAAAACTTACCTGCCAAGCAGCCAGCCATCATACAGTGCAGGGGTCCTGGATTTTCACTATGATCGCCACCGGGCTTCATCTAAATAGAAAGTGGCTTTATCAATACGTCTTTTTAATAATGGTCAGTAAGCCTCATTGCGTGCATTTCACGAGAATTTATAGTTAACTTCTGTTAAAAACTTTGTTAAAGAAATAGAGAAAACACAAAAGGGGACACGAGGGCCATGTTGGGATAACAAAAAATTCGTGGGAATTAAACTCTTTCGTTCATTACAAGAAATTTACATAGCTGCTGAATAAGCAGTGGCGGATCCAGGGGAGGGGCCCGCCCCCCCTTTATTTTTAGACCAAACTGAGGCCCAAAAGGCCGAAAAAATATTTATTTGAGACCGACCCCCTCCCCCTTATTTCAGGGTCTGAATGGCCGCCCCCCTTATCACTAGGGCTGTATCCGCCACTGTCCAGTGAGGGAAAACCATCAATATCATACAAGTTGTTTTTAGCAGCCTTTCACAGACTAAAAAGATGCATTCTGTTTGTTGATGGCTGCGTAATTATTAACTTACTCTTGAGGTTCCCCCGCAAAATTGAATAAAATCCAGGAAAATAAGAAAACGTGGAGTTCATTAAATTATTGACAGTTTTCCTGCTAAAGACACTAACCTCAAGCCGGAAAAAGGCAAATAGTGGAAAGTAGATACAGGAAAAAGGAACGTCCCTGAAAATGGAAGGCCAATGGAAGATCAATGAGTTTATCAAAGCGCATTAGCAGAACTTTGCAAGCAGTTAAGGTCAATTATAAAGTGTTTTGTTCACCTTGCTAATGTGGCTCCAAGTCCTTTGTACAGTCCACCGATGCCTTTGCTTCTCATTAGATCCTGTGCTATTCTCGCCGCAGATTTAGGGGGTGTACTTGAGTTGGTGCCGAACGTTCTTAAATTTGAACTGGCGGCTGCCACTGCAGAGGAGGTGTTGGCAACTCTAGGACTCGCTATAAGCAAGGTAATTAACAATCATTGGTTGAGGCTGAATATGTTATGACGCATTAAGCAGATCGAAGAAAGCTGCAGGATATTAAGGAATTTCCAAGAAGTGATCAGGGCGTTAGCTTTCTACCGGGTAGCCTAGCAGTTTCTCCAGGGTAAGAGGCAATCTACCCATATTTACGGCTAAGCGTACGGGTAATTTACCCGTACCCGTACACGGAAACGGTGCATCTAAATTGAAATCCCCATTGTTTCCCCTTCACCACTACCACCACATTTCTATTTATTATTTGCAATCGACAATGAAAGCGGCAGGAAATGGAAGTTGCATAAAAGTACGTTACGACTCAATAACGTTTATGTCTCAGGCGAATTAGCGCTTATTCCTTCGAAAAGGTGATTCAACCAATGAGTACTTTTGTTAGTCAGCCATCAAAAAGAAAGATATTCATCCTGGTCAATCTAAAACCTGTCAAACTGGTTAAACCACATGACCTTATCTGAATAAGACTTCCTACCTCCTTAATGAGATTCCTGCCGAAAAAAGAGGCCTAGCTGTGCGCCCTGTACTACTGATGATAGACTTGTTCACAGGCCATTGACAAAACCTTGATCGTACCCGATCGGGTCAATCCTCCCTATCCCTACCTTTTTTTTTCGATTTAGTGTGCTACAGATCGAGGTTGATCCGATTCGCTCTGAACCAGATTCTGTTGACACCCCTTTTCACGCAATACATTTACCTGACATTTGTGTGCCTGCCATTTGAAGCTGTATTTTAAGCATTTCCATTGGTGTTGTTACAATCACCTGTTACGACGAAAAAAAGTTAGTTATAGCTAGAAATTGGATCTGGAACACAGACAGTATTAAAATGCGTCTTTTAGAAGTAAAACGAAGCAGACCTGACAAAATCCAGCTACTCCACCAGCTATCATTTCTTTGGATAAGGGTAGTGTGTGCCTTAAAGAAGAAAAATATTAAAAGCTCTTTTAAAGGAATTAACGTCAGTTTGCACAACATTAAATATGTTACAAGCCAAACAAAAGTTTATGAGATACTAATTGAGCATTTTTTAACAGACAAAGAAATGTTTAGGTTATTTACCAAAAACATGCAAAAGTGATTGAAGTTACCTTTTACCACCGTACATTTGCCTGACTTGATCATTTACAGCAAGTTTTATTGCTTTTTCTGGGTTGATAAGTAATAGATTCACTCCCATTCCTAACATAAAAACAAGCAAGAAAAAAAGTCATTCTTAAACATTCACCAGGAACTGAGGCCACAAAATTAAAACTTATTAACCTTTTTTCCTTTTACCTTTGTAAAGACCCTGTATCCCTTCCGCTCTTGTCACTTTCCACAAACAGTCCACTCTAAAATTAAACACAGTGTAAACATTGAAAACAAATGGAAAAATTAGTGATATCGACAAGTAAAAAAGGATACTTACAAATGCTTGTATTGCTTTTGAGTTCCGAGGTTTCTCTGATCCTGCAGTCTTGTTTTAGCAAGGTCCAAGGGGAAGACACAGCTAACGCCCACCACACCAGCGATAGCCCCATTGAGAAGCTTAGCTGAAAAACTTAACACACATTCACTCAACATTAGTAATTAGGGACCTTAAGCGCAAGCAGCAATGAGAACGTTGACGTCTCGGACGTCAAAGATGGCAACCGGAAGTTCATATTTTTCTCTCTTTCAGTGCTCGGAGTTAAAACAAGGACATTTAGATTCGTTGTGTGAGACAAAAGTGTTCCATCAAGCAAGACATCCAACTTCAGATTGCTGTTCATGACCTTCGGGACGTCGGCGTTCTCGTTGTTTAATCTTACTAATATGCTAACTTTCAACTTCAGCTACTTTCAACACTTTCCTCCTCCCAAAGCGAGTATAAAGAAGTCTTTTGTGGGTTTCTAAGTTTCAGACTCTGTATAAGCATTTTACGATCAGACGATTGCTATTCATGAAACGACGATTTTGGAGATTCGGAAGCGACGATGGCATTGACACTCCAATCAAGTTTCAAACGACTTTGTTTTAGTGAAAACATTTCCAGTAGGGATGAGTTAACAGTTCTAGTTTTAGGATGCAGTGGCAGTGAATTAAGCAGCCTGAATTACAAAATATGTTCACAATATGCATGCTGGCTTCAATCCCTTCATTTGTTATACAAGATATCAAATCAATCAACAGCATTTCCATAGGTCCAAAATGGAAGCTAATAAACACTTTCCATGACGTTTGAACATATTGAAAAGCTCAGCTAGATGAAGTTCCTCATTAATTTCATAACATGATCATGAAGCAAATTTTTTTTTCTAACTTTTCTCTAAATCTGCAACTTATGTAATGTGACGTCTTTTTTGTTCTTAGCTCGCTTTAGCCCGAGAAAAAACACACTTGCAAGTCCAAATTTAACTTCCTTATAAAAATTCTACGAAAAAAAACTGATATTTACTTATTTTTTAATTATATGGTTAAGTTTTGTACAGAGTAAACTAATAAAATATTTAATACACGAAGTCCCAAATATACGTTTGTTATACGGATATAAATAACTTCACAGTGAATTTATGTTGCCTCCTAAGGTTGAATTAGTAAAGTCAAATTGAAAGGAAAACTAATTCAGTTCATGTAAGTCTTATCTTCGAACTAATGAAAATGAAATCAAACTGCGAGGGCAGCTAAAATATCGTTAAATCAAGCCGTGTTTCTGAAACTTAATTTTTGAGCCAATAAATATTAAACTAAAGCTATGTCAAGAATTCAAGAATGTATTAGTTTCATTTTTTCCAACAAGTTTACTTATCCGAGGACATCATAATACTGAAAAAATTTTTCACATGAGCTTAATGCAAAAATTTAAAGTTAGCTTACACAGCCTTGTTTGTACCGTGACTGTTCCACTCGTTTCAGTTCCTGAACAGATTTTCCCGAGTTAGTAAAAATCAGTTTGATAAACTTAATAATTAATTGAACTAATACTCAGATTTCTTCTTTACGGAAGTAATCCGCCAGAAAATTGAAAATTAAATTGGCTCGGGAAACTAGTTAAATTTGATTGATAAATATTGACTTAACTCCATGCAATGTTTCGAAAACATGCGTTCTTTCTGTAAATTCCCCACCATCCGCCGAAAAAGATAATTGTTTTGAGCTTGATATAAAAAGTATAGGTTAACCTCATACAGTTTTTCCTACGTCTGACCTAAAATTACCTACACACAGATTTTTACCATTGAAGGAAGTTAAACTGGATCGAGTAAAGCAACATTAAAAATTTTTGAAGTGCATCAAAAGAATTAAGTTTATCTGAAAGAACTCTCCGGCTTTCGACCGGCTTGCCGGCGGCCTTGCCGCCTGTTTTCCACAATAACGAAACTTTTCAAGGATATTGTGATAACTTTCCTCTAGAACACGAAATCGTGACAGTTCTTTCGTACTCGTAACGCGTACAAAGCTAAGATTTTACCGCCAGAGTGCATAGTAACTAAATACCTGTGAGGTTTTTCCATGCAGCGCTTCCACTTCAACTGTGCACGAAGTTTACTCTGTCGAGGCTCGTTGCTTTTCTTTCCCGCCTCTATCACAAGCTTTTATACCGTCCAATAGAAATGCTGGGAAGAACCTGTGACGCAGAATAGACCAATTAGAATTTCGTTTATATTAGTGGTACTCGCGATCGCCCTTGTGTCGACTATGTCTGTCTTCGTTTTAACCGCTTAGGTTCGTCAATCGAAGAACAAATGAAATATGAATTTCTACATTTCTGTGATGCGCTTACACGCAAACGATTCTGCTAATCATGTGATAAGTGAAAGTCATATGACGTTGCCCCACAAGCTCGTGTAAGAAGTCATGACCTGGCAACGTGGGGGAAGGGGTATGGGGCTCCACAGACTACCTTAGCTATACCCGTGTGTACCACAGTTCGAGATGTTTCCTCATCTTAGAACGAGAAATAACATTTCCAGTGCATGGTAGTTGTAAAATATCAGCGGTTGAAAAAGAATATAAAGAACATGACACTAGGAAGCGGTTTATTTTTTGGATTGGTGTATCATTCTGAATGGAAAACGGGGTATCAGTTGGGGCCTATGAGACACGTATCCACCCAAAACTTTCTGGAGTATTTCCCCCCGGGTCTAGCAGGGATTATTCGTTGTGTTCTGTTCAGTTTTTTCGCTGTATCTATATTAACCGCCACTCGGTCTTTATCATGTGTACATGTGTGTTCATTTCTGTTTACTTTTTCCCCTTAATTAATTTCCATAAAGAAATGCGTGTGATTTTGAATTTAGTGAATGATTCAGCAAATTGAATGTAGTATTGCGACTATTGCTGGAAAGGGAAACACCTAATAACCTCGCGAGAGGTTAGTCACGGCATTACCGTCACTCCATGCACCATGACACGTACATTGGTTAAAAGTCTAGCTCAGTGCCACTTCCCTTTGTTTCAGGCCTATTTACAATTTGTAGTTAAGTCCACTGCTGTTATTGCAAATATATATTTTTTCCACTTAAAGATGATACTGAACTTTTCAGAACAAGAGCTAACAGGCCGAAAAAAAATTGCTGAAAGGAGACTTTGTCACGGTAGTCAAATCAAGTTCTTTTAGTTGTTGCCCTTTATATTAATCGCTACTACGAAACTTAAAAAACTTCTTCCAAGAGACGAAAAATTCCGATTTTTATCTTCTTAATTTTGTGAAATCTGTGCCTTCTTTTGTACCGGATGTGTAATATGGTTCTCTCAGTTTTAAAAGTAACTGTAATTCGCGGCCAGTTTCCTAAATTGCGTTACAGCTTATGTAGAGGAGGAGCGCGTGACAAAGCCCAATAAAACGATTTCAGAATGGTACAAAAATCTGTTAAGCCAGCCGTTCACATCAACCTGTGGGTAGGGTTTGTACGACTGTATAATTTTATGGTTATTAACGTGAAAAAGGATTGGTGCGATGAAGACAAAAACAAATGAAATAAGCCTTGTCAGCTATCAAGACAGACGACTCCAGCGCAGTTAAACAGAAGGAAATGGATAATCGAGCAAGTTTATAGAATTTGTTTCTCTCCTTGCCTATGGTTTACAAAGAATAAACCATGGCTTGATTAGCAGTAGCGCCAAAGTTAATTCGCCACCGTCCCGATCAGAAGGGGGGCAGGGGACTGGGACTAGGAAAAAGAATTAAAACGCCACCTTTAAAACTGAACCACAAACTTCAAAACTCAAGAAGATATTAAAACCGGATTTCATAGGCGTTTAGGCCGTAGCACCTGTCGCACGTGAAACATTAGGAAGAGTTGTACTTGTTGAGAGAACACAAATTTTCCTTGGCAAGGCAGGCAGAGGCTTGGTGTATTGCAAACAAAAAGCACACTCTGTCTTGCAATTTAAAAGATCTGAAAGCCAAAATTGCTATAGGCAGTACTTACAGCCAGAGAAATCCATATGGTGAAACTACTCCGGACAGATATGGAAAATCAAAATTAGTCGTGTTCTCGTGTACGGTTCATATGGACCCTCTTCAGTCAGATGCTGTTCACAGTAGCATTCAAACGGGCACGTATACAGGTTTTTGTGTTAACGCTGGTTCATAACAGGTACAGACTGGACAAGCCAACCTTAGATTCTGGAAAGGCTTATTACAATAACGGCTTTCTACTAGAATCTTTGAACACTTTGGTAACGGTTTTCCTTCCACGATAATGTGGGAAGTTTCGGTCTATTTGCAATAACCAACTGAAAATAAAAAACTAAAAATCATTTATACTAGATCGTAAGTTTAAACATTGAGGACAATTTTTTTTGGGGGGGGAGGAAAAAACTGCCTTTTTTCTACCTACAGTACGACGAAAAACTCAGAAAAACTTGCAGGTGAAAAATAAAAAGAACTTAAAGCGCTAACTGTGAAAGCAAAATCATCTGTTTATAAATATATGATTACATTAACATTGACGGCATTTTGTTGTGCATGAGATAACTGTATAGCTAGATGAAACTTCCTCACTTAAAAAAGACGATATAATTGATATAATTACGCTAGTCCTTCGACTCAAATAAACGAATTTGTGTCGTTTTTAAAACGAGAGCAAGCGATTAACCATGTTTAAAATTGGTATTTTTAGCTTGTACGTGTTTATATATAGAAATAATTCTTACCAGCGTTGCCGACAGCAAAATAATTACGTGGGCAATAATAAATGTGATCTTGCAGGATATTCAAAGATCAGGCTTGCCTGTCTCCTTGTGAGCTGTGACAGTTGTTGTTGTTCAGTTTGAAGTCAAGGTAACCCCCTCAAAACCAGAGTGAGAAAATTAAGTTCCGCTTGATGAGTGCTTCCCGACTAGTACTTAGTTCTTGGATTATTAAAGAATAACAGCTTTCTGGACTATCAGGCAGAATGCCATTAAGCAAACAAGCGTTGCTTAAAATTTAATTAGCTTCGTACCGAGGATCGTGTATTAATAATTCATACTACTAATGTTATGTTTTCAGCTTTCAGGGCATCAGCGACAATGAACAGCTTATGACAACCTTGATTCTCTGATTTGAATAGAATTTCTTATTTATAAAAATACAGATGGAACTTTAAATATGTGCTTTTTTCATAAAGTAAATTCCAAAGCAGTACGATAAAATCGGGGTGGACATGATTTTGTATCTTGTTGTAACGTGTGGACCACGCCCTGTCCAACAGGTGGTTTTGAATGAGCCTTTTGACTCACGATTTGACGTAGCGTCGCCTGAACCTTTTTGGTTCAACGCCTGAAACGATTTATCAGTTAGTTGTTTTCCTTTTCACTGTTCATTTAAGTAGTAGCACACAGAGAAAAGAAGGGGAAAATTTCCTTGTATTTTTATGGTTTGTTAATTCTGCTCTGTGTGCATTTTACTGTGTAGCTGTTTTAGAGCATGTTTACTGTCAACAGGTTATCACACTTTCAATGCGATTTTGTCAAGCAGGTCTTATATTTAGACCATTCAATTTTTGTGTGTGTAAAAAACAAAACAAACCCCAGCGACAAAGTTGATACTAGTTTTCTTGTTAGTAATTCACTCACAAAGACTCTCAGTTCCCGCCTTAAGACTTTACTCTTGCCACAGAAATGATATTTTTCCGACATATTTCTGTTAAACAAGTTATCATTTCGATCATGTGAAAAAAAATTATGTAACACGGAAACATCTTATAGAATTCACAATAAACCATTCTTTTTTATGGTTTTTGAACCGTTTTCCCCAAACATCGAAAAACGTATGCCTGTCTTGTACCTGCATAGTAACAACCTTTCGCAACAAGGCTTTGTGGACTTCATTGATAAGCTTATCCGTTAGATTTTCCAACCTAATCCTAAGAGCTTTCCTTTGTCGATTTTCAAGGAGCAATGCGTTTTGTTAGCACTGACCCTGATAGCTTCAGGGAAAGTTCCCAATTTAGACCACGTGATTTTCCAAGAGAATTTGGCTCCTGTTTCAGTTATCATACATATACGCATGCAGATGGACCGACATTAATAAGAAAAAGTTCCCTGGGGTAACATGCATCACGTGGTCTGAAATAGAGAGACAGTTTACATGCCGGCAAAGAAAGCCCGATTCTCACTTCAGAAATTAGAAGGGGAATGGGTACAAGCAAGAGAGAATTATGGGACAGAAGCTTTCGGCGCAACGACGTTTATGGTTGCATTGCCTACCATCGACCAATCATAGCTAACACTTGTACACCCAAACTATCCTAGATATCGTTGCCCCGAAAGCTTGTGGCCATAAAAGGAGGCCGTAAGTCTGCTCAAAACTTTTCGCAGGAGCCCATCAAATTTGATGGGCTCCTGCTTTTCGTTTATTTCAGCCCGTTCTGTTCAAATCTTGCCAAGATTTCATTCAACCAAGAAATGGCCCAACAGGATAAGAGTCATTGTTTCAATAAATGAGGATTTTTGGGCGATTTTTTCATTATTTTAATGAATAAAAATTATGGGGGAAATTTCAACTTCGTCCCCAGGGCTTTTCCCTTAAAAAATGGGTGGACCTTTTCCCGCCCCACCCATTTTTTAAGGGAAAAGCCCTGGGGACGAGGTTGGGGGAAATTTAAAATTATGTAAAATTGAAAAGTACTGAATGTAGGGGTTGTGAAAAAAAATTGAAATATGAAAGGAATAATTAGTGGCTAAACACTAAATATGTCCACTACCATAACAAGGTGCCCCTGAGCTCATGTACCTTTTTTCTTTCAATCTCAATTGAACCGCATTTCCCCCAAGTGAGCAACCAGATTGCCCCCCTGAAGTACTCGAATAATGAGTAAGTAAGTGGTGATCAACGCGACCGCACTTGAATGCAACAGCAGACAAATTGACAGCTGGAGAACTTTGCGGCGAGGAGACCGTACAAAGGGGAGAGGTAACCCCAGGGGTAACCCTACTCTATCTCTCCTTTCAAAGTTCAGCGCGGTTACCATTTTTCAAGCAGTTACAGAAGCCGTTCACCCGGAGCTTCCATATGTGCTATAACCTTGAGTCAACCCTTTCCCGTTGCAATTTATTTATAGATCTAATGATACCCCGCAAAAAAAACTGTTTTCGCGGACGTCTGCAAACAGCCAATCGGCACCTGGCAGTTAGAAGAGTAGTTTTTCCAAAAACGGAAAAAATGTTGAAACACCAATAATTTGGAACAATAGATTAATCAGTTTTCACCTGATTTGGCTTTTTATGGCCAGATTTGGTTGTTTTATGATCAAAAGTGGGATTTCTCAGATCATTTGGTACTTTTCTTAACTGCCAGGCGTCTGCATTGGAAATCTGACGTGCCGAACAAGAACGCCCCGACGAAGGGTACACAGGAAGCCCAAGCGAGGAAGAACGTACCTGCAATTGGCAAGTGCCAACCCTGGGGATACAGCCGCTTCTCATCACTCCCTGTCACTGGCACGTTTCGTGACACGTGTCCACCATCTGTAAGGCCGCTGAATGACCCTGAATTCCTAGGAACACTTATGCAACAAACCACTCGATCGCAATATTATTTTTCACGTTTGGATGAAAAGCTGTGGTGTTTCCATTCAATTGAAACCTCTTTGGCACTTTGGCAGAACTTTTGAACAGTACTGTTAAAATGATTTTATGTTTTATGATTTTACAAAAAGGAATTTGGAATTTAAATGAATTTTTCACTTTCGCCACCTAATATGTTTGAAAGCCTTAAACACTGGATTGGAGCCTCCCCGTATATAGGCCATTAGAGGGAGTACCTCCCCAACCCCCACCCCACAAAATCTTAACATACACTGCTATTAAGTGGTACAGACTGTATCCTGGAATCACTTTAATAAAACTTTTACAGGTGTAATTTACAATTATTGTAGCCATTGTTTTAGAGTCTGAGAACAACAGCTACACTTGTAAAAGTTTTATTAAATTGACCCCAGCTGTTGTTTAACTTTCCTACAATCAACTTCTCTACTTCACACATCATTTAAAAAATTAAGAAGCATTCAAGTACTTTATTTCTTTTTTTATCATTTGATTATAAAAGGTACGAATTTACTCTTATCCAGGTCTCGCACACAACAATACCTGAAATGCATTTAATCTAAAAGTGCTTTTTCATTGTTTCCAGTTTCTTTTTTCTTGTTTCACAGAGAACCTGGAAACTAAATAAGAGTACAGTGGCACAAAGGAACTCGATTCATACCACAAAAGACTACCACTTTCATCAAATGCATCTCTCTCTTGGAGAGGGTAAAGCAGAAGGAAACAACAAAATAAAATAAATGGAAACTGATTGGAAAATACATCATTTCTTCTTACACATCTGGTCCTATTGTTCAAACGTTGGAGAGCCTCTAGTCCACAGGATAAGTCACAGTCCACTGGATAAATATTAAGGAACCATTGAGCTACCCAGGCCCTGGCTGTTCAAACGTTGGATAACACTATCCACCAGATAAATCATCATCCAGCGGTTAATTATTTGGGAAACTAATTGCATTATTTACCTTCTGAACAACACTACCGCTATCCATCTTTTGAAAACCAAGGGCCTGGGATAGACCTATTCAGCTAACTCAACGTTGTACCAAATTCAAACCCTTTGGGAATAAAACGTTTAGTTTTCGGAATTTCCATATCATTTAAATGTGAATGCCACGTTATAATGCAAATACAATACACAAAGAATCTTAACCCCGGGAGATTTGCATTGGATACAACGCTGAGTTAGTCCATTAGGTCTATGAGATTGAAGTGTGATTAGCACTAATATTGGAACATGAGTTGTTACCAGGGCTGTCTCTAAGATTTCTTGTTGCCAGGTATATGCAGTTACTAGGTAGGAATTGATCAGCTATGAAAATTCTTTTGGTTCTATTTTTCTTTGTTTCCTATGAAAGTATCTACGGATCATCCTCATAGTAGACAGGGAAAATTCCTGGGTGCCCACCCCTTACAGACAGCCCTGTGTTATGGTAATACTCCTCACAAACTGTATTTGCTGACTCACAAACAGTGCTTTAAACAACTCAGCTTTATAGAATACCTCAACAGAAGCCAAAAAATTTTTTACGCGCTTAATTATGATATCCTGACAATAAGGTGAAGGATTGTAGAAGATCAATTCTGTTCACTGGCCACTTAGGCACTCTTCCAAGTGCAAGGCGTTAATTAATAAATCATAATTTATACTGCACATTGAGTGGAGTGTTGAAATAGAGAATTTTATGGCACAACTTCTAGGCTTAACTTTAAAGTTAAAGAGCAAGTGCTTGACCCTTACAAGAACTTATTCTTGAAGAGATTATAAAATAATATTTTAAGGCCTTCAAAAAACTTACTAATGATAGCAATCCCAATTTAAAAGCTACAAACTCTGCACTGAAAGATATGATTAAGGTTGATTAAATTAGAAGGTCGGGGTTCTTGGAACAATAGACCTTTTTAGCTTGCCTGTTTTGTTTTACCATTTTAGATCACATGAAGTTACCCCAGAGAGCTGTTTAAATCCTATTTCGTCGTTAATCCAAATCATGCATACATCTATGTGTGCAAAACTTATAAAAAAAAACAAAAGGCAAATTCTCTTGAGAGCATCACATGGTCTGAATATTTGGGAACATAAAACATACAAGGCAAAAAGGTTAACTGCCGGTATTTCAGTGACAATAATAACCAAGAAGGATAATTTAATTACATGGCATTTTTTACATAGTTCCCCCTGAACATATCAAGCACAGAGCTAAATAACACTCTTGTTGAAATACAACATTGATTTCCAGAAGATGCCTTCCTGACTTGCTGGGTTAACCGTGCCTCGCCTGAATTTTATTGGGGGCGACCTCTGGATTCTACAAATGGTGCCTAAAAGAAAACAAAATATCAACAGTGTTTGCAAGTTAAGTGCCTCTATTAGTGGTGAATGAGGAAATTGTTAACCCTTTAGGTCTCAAGAGTGACTACCATCAATTATCTCCCAGCAATAGAGAGGAGAAGTCGTTATGTCACGTTGCCATGGTAGCAAAATTTCTGGATGACAACAAACTGAAAACGTAACTTAAAAAGTGACTTCCTACTATTTCAAACTTCATCACTCTTATTCAATTCATTTAATTTGTCAAATGTTGGCAAAATTTTCCAGGGCTAAATCTGTAAGGACTGTATCTAAGTTTAACAAAAGAAAAAGAAAATTCTTGTGTTGTGTTCACCTACTCCCTAAAGTCAGCGCGTGAAATAAGGAAGTTTTATGTCGCAGTCGAGCATCAACAGCTACGAAATGGACAAAAAAATGTGATAAACATTCAAAAGTTGTTGTTTTGCTTATATAAATGTGTTGCTTTTTTGCCCTTCTGGTTGTCGTCGCCGTGGTTGTTGCTTAAGCTCCTTATCGTTGTCATCCAGGAATTTTGCAAGTTACCATGGCAATGTGACTTTATCAATACAAAATCAAGTGAAAAGGTTATGAGGGTTAATAAAATGATGCCCAAAGAAAAAATACTTTGATCAGTTATCAAATTCTCTCAACAATCAAGGAAATTTTCATCTTTATACAATACAGTTATGGTAACCTTTTTCCATATCTTTACTCATGCCGACATAGTTAATGCTCAAACTTGGGAGGTATCCACCCTAAACAATCCAGTCGAGCCACCTTAAAAATCACATAATTATATGATGTACAGTAAATTATGAAGCAAGATCCTACCATTCCTCCAGCTTGTTGCATTGCCCGACTATATGACTGACTTATGTAGCGTTTGAAGTAATCAGTGACTGCTCCACAAGCTCTCGCTGTTTCCTCAGCAACCCGTTTGCTGAGACACATTGCCATGACAAAGTTTGACCAACTCCTATCTCTGCCCACCATGTTATCAATCTCTTGACTCAGCCTATCATACGTCAAGGAAGCAGCATTCTCCAGAACAAATGAGACTAAATGACTCTGGACTCCCTATCAAAGCAAAAGAGTGACCATGTAAATTCTAACGTGTAGACAAGGAATACCATATTTATTTGGCTATAAGCCAGGTGATTTTTACACAAATTGCTGTGGTTTATTTTGACTAAAAGGCAATTTCTGTGACCATTTCAATACAATGAAGACACAAAGAAAGATTGATAGCAGTGAAAAACCCAAACAACAATATATTGTTGAAAACTTTGATCAGGTGAGCCGTTTATGTTGTTTAGTCAACCTGTCAAGCAAACCCTTCAGAAAATCAAGGCAATCAGGGCTCGAAATTAAAAAAATCTTCAGGTCGCCTTTTGGCGACAAACTGGAGAAATGTAGTCTCCAGGTACAAATTTTTAGTCACCAGTTTGTATGATGTAAATGAAGCAGCTCACAGTATCAGCTTGGCTTCTGATATTTAGCGCGGTCGCTGAGCCGCGAATTTCAGGAAAAACCGGAAAATCCCCTGAAATTCACAATAATGTGCCAAATACCGTGAAATTCGCGAGAAATCTTATCAAATACTTGTCGATACAACATATTTGAAACTTATCTCGGCTATAGGGGCTGTTTAATTGCCGAATCTTTGCAAATTTACCTTGAAACTTCATCACCACAATGCGCGAAAAATGTCTCAAAATTACCAGGCGTAAACTATGTTGCGAAAAACTGGGCACTAGTCATGATGTTAAAAGCTTTGCCATTGGTTCATTTCTCGAGCGCTTTGTTGCTAGAATATGTTAGATTATCTCTGTTACAAACATTACACACGGTCGTCAAATCAGTGCAAAATCAATCGATTTCTAGCGAAATTTGCCCAGAAAATTCCCACGAAATCAGCTGCTTTGCAGCGAAGTTACCCGTGAAAATTTCTGCCAAATCTGTCTCTGAAAATCCCGTGAAATTTTACTTCCGCAACCTAGATCGCAATATATGAAATTTTTGTTTTAACTTTACTCTTTCAATTTAAATCTATATCACAGAGAAATCTGGTCGCCATTGGCGACCGTATCAGTCGCAATTTCGAGCCCTGGCAATCCATTTGAACACTTTCAAAAACCATCAGAAATTTTCGTTCACCTGTTAACAGCATTAATCAAACCATTACAACACTTTGAAAGGCTCAATCTTAACATGTCATTCATCAGCTGTTAGTTTTTGCCCATTTAACAGAAAAGCATTAGTGTACACTTTCCTGCAGAAGGTCACACTTTTTTCAAAATATTAATGTTAGGTTTTCCCGTAGATAAAAGTCTTGTAACAAATGGGTCTCGGCTTAAAGCTAGGTGTTTTTTATTTATTTGTCATTCTTGTTTATGCTGACTCTACTCATCTGACAGCCGAATAAATGCGGTATGTCAGCACTTCTATGATTATCAGTTCTTAGGTTAGGGGGTATAGCCATGAGATAAGAAGGAACTTACTCCACTCAGGCCACCTGTACTTCCATAATTTCTTAACCCAGAACTAGTATCTCAACGATTGATATCACCCCTAATATTTATGTGTAATTTGAGCAAAAATTAGCAACAATTGCTAATTAATAAATTGTTAATTAATTGGACTGTTGTTACTTGCGTGGTCTTTCGCCAACTTACACATCTAAAGGACTTGGAAACTACAATGTGGTTCATTTTAATCCTTGGTTTGAACTCTATTATTAACCTCTGATTGAAGTAACCCTCATGTTTAATTATCCAAAGCTTGTGTAAGTACAGCAACTTCTCCCAATAAAACCTTACTGATCATACAGCACCCTGATTGTCATAAACCCAAAACGTAAAAAAAATAACATTGAAAGCGAGGACATGATTTAACCATTACATATTAAAATATCTTCCAGGCAATATATAATTAAACCACAAGTTATACAAATATGTGGAAAGCATTACATTTGTTCATACCGTCACATGCCTTCCATATTGACTTGTAAGAGCATCACCAGCAAGCTGCATCTGATGAGCCAGCTTTTGTATTGTTGGATCTGCAGGTTGCTCTACTCCTGTAGCTGGTAAGGGTGTTCGAGACTCAGCAGGACCCTTCTCCATAATTTGACTATCAGGTACCATGTCATCTTCTTCATATGACTCAGAGCATTCCCTGACACCTAGAACAAAGGATATCAATAATAAAGCTATATATCACATTAACATCTTTGCTTCCAGTTGAAAGTCAAAGATCACCCTATGACCCATAACATTAACAAAAAGTCATATTTCCACATAAAAATTTTACCCTTTTTACTTCCAAAAATAAAGACAACCATACTGACAGAAATTAATCCAAAGACTTAAGAATTCCCAGTTCTTTTCTCAGCTTTGGACACTGTTGTTTTAGGTAAGACAGCAATCTAACTAGTAGCTATTATGTAATCATCCTCTGACTAAATGTGTGTTTTCTTGTAGTTACGGACTGCCATTCATGTGATAAGGTCCTCAACAGGATGAATAGCAGATACACTTGTACTAAAAGCTCCATGAATTGATAATTAATAAAATAATGTAGTAAATGTGCAATTAGATAACTGTATGTACCGTAAGCATTATGCAGGATATTTCACACAGTCAAGGGCTTTACAATAAGAGTTTATAATAATATGAATAGCACAAGTTTTATAAGTTACAAAGTATATTAAATTTTCCATTTCTTACTCTTTACTGCATTTTTGTCATATCAAGTTTGAGATTTTTTTTGACTGTCCTAAAGTCTTTATTTTTCCTCCTTTTTTGAGTCATGGTTTTGTAATAAAATATGACTGGTATACATGTAATAGGTTTATACAGTGTTTGTTGTACAAAAATAAACCAATTTAAACACTGAACTTTTTCAAAGTTACAGATTACAAATTTTGCTACCTGACTATGAAAAAAGTTTAATCAATGTTTCTGTTTTATTAAAATTAATACTTATAATTATGTATAAATATTTCCAGTTCTATCAAATCACCATGAAAACGATCCCCAACAAAGACATGTAAAATAACATGACCACACCTTTCCTAAAGATCTTCATAACTCTCCAAGATGTCAAGTTCAAGTTAACTAGGGGACAATCAAATTTGTTACAGAGCAAAGGAGGAAAGGTGACTGTAACTCTGGTGAAACTGATACAAGTTCAAATGTGTATTTTCTTGTATAAAAGATTCTTACAAAATGTTTTTGTTTAATGATTAAATGTGTATTTTCCTGCATTAAAAACACTTAACATCATTAGTGTTGTTGTTTATTGTTTTGGAACACATACACTATTTGACAGACACTTTGATATAACACAGAATCTTCAAATAAACAACAGACAATAAACTTAATTTTTTTTGCCCTTTACAACTTACACCATTTTATAGCAATATTAGAAGATAAATTTTAAAAATTGTCACAAAATGTGAAACCTAGTACATCCAAATTTTCAATCTCCTTTATAAGAGCAACAACAAATCACCTGATTTTATGTATTACTGTATTCATATGATTTGGAGCAGATGAAGATCCTTTACTTCTTCAATCCAAGTAGGACCAACAAGTTATGGCAGGATCGTCACTATCACTTTTAACCCTTTTAAACCCAATATCTATTACAGGTCAAAGTTAAATTTTTAACCGAGGTTGATTGTCAATTTCTTTTGAATCCTAGCTTAAATTCATGAATATTAAGGACCAAGAGACAAAGGAAATTGAGAATCAACCTACAATCATCGTCAAAAGTGTTGGGAAGGTTGCCTTTTTTACCTCTTCTTTTCCTTCCTCCCCCCGCCTCTGGCCCAATGTTGATCAAAACGTTAATGTTTGTGCCCGTAATTGTTCTGTTATATCCCAACATTGAACAGGGGGGACGGGGGATATTTAGCAAAAGAGAAAACTCTCTTTTTTCAGGATTAAAATGGACTACTGTTAAGTTGTACAGCCTTCCAAACTACTTTTGTCTGTGATTGTCTGAAAATTCTGGGTGTGGCTGTGAAAGGTCAAAACTCAACGACTTTTTGTCAGTAGAAACGTCTTCAAAAAACACTCGTAAACATTACTCTGTTGAAAAAAAATATTTGCCGTACCTTGTTAAGACAGTTTTTGGCGCACACGCCTGTTTATATTCAGCATGTTTTGCAACCCGGTAAGTACAACTATTGCTCTTTCTGGGGCACAGGAAGCGGGCCAAAATACAAATGTAAGACTATTTTCGGTGAAAACTATTGACTGTAGCATAGGCTGATATGCTCCAAATCTTAAAGCAAGATATAGTGCGTTCACCACTTCCCGCAAAAATCATTCGGATTGCGACAGTGTAGCTGACATCTTCCTTAGCAATTCCCCCATTCTTTACAACATTCAGCACATGCCAATTTGCCAGGCGAGCAAACTATGAGGCTGAGTGGAGATTTGCCGAATTCTTGAGGCTACTTTCTCTGGCTGAATAACTCTAGTTAAGCCCTTGTGGCACTGCTTTTCGAAACTGGTTTCAGAGAACGACAACAAAGTACGCTCTTGATTTAGAGTAAGGCGTCTATTGTCTTCGTTAATCTAATTAAAAAGGGTAACACATGCAAAGTCATCACACACCACATTACTCCATTTTCGTAGCCGAAAATAATTCCTTTATAGTAGCGCTAACGAGCAAAATAGCCTTATTGACTTGTTTGGGGCTTTGCAAGGACTTAACCAAACGAATTTTAATAGATATTTTAGCTTAATTCTAAGTAAAATACAACAGTACTCCATGGATAGCGTTAAAATTAAACTTACTTTGCTAATTGACCTTTATGGGGCACTGTTTAAATGGAGTAATGTTGGGAAACAGTTGTTAAATTTATCTCCGTAGATAAATGCGACAAAAGCTGTCCATATTCTTACATGATTTACATGTTTTTACCCTTTTCTTGTTTGAAAGTTGGTTCATTGTGCATATATTTCGCATTTTCTTGTGGAGTAATATGATGGAGTAATGTGGAAACCCATGTTGTTTACTGTTCTCAAATTAACTGAATGATTGACAGGCGACGCTAGCACAGCAATTTCTATATGAGCACTGAACATGGCTGAATGAACTCTTTTATAGAGGTTCCGTATAACTTTCAGGCCTCGCGAAAATACAGTCTAGAAGATTTTAATTCGGCACTTATCTCACTGCTTCCTCGCAACTACAAACATCACGTTTTTCTAGGATACTTTGACACCGCCAGAATGCAAAAAAACCTTTATTGTGGCAGCCTTTATGCCATTTCTATTTGTAACATCTTTCAAAATATTTCGCTGATAGGAAACGGCAAAAGTTAACCAGGAATAATGCCGCTGATGAAAAAGATACATGTATACATGACAACGACAGCAATTGTATAGCATTTTTTGCTTAAAAATACCCTCATGACTTTTCGTTAAATCTAGTGAAACAGACCACCTGTGGCCATTCTTTCTATGTAGTCCACGCGCAGAAAACGTCTGTTGGTTCATGAGGAAAATTAAAGGCCTTAAATGTTTTCTTCTGACGTTCTTAAAAGAAAGCCTTTTTACCCAGTGGACTTTGTGGTCACACTGTGAAATGTCACGCACGTCTGATGCAAAATTCTCCTATTTATGATTTTACTGAAATATAACCTTTACTGTATTTTTTATATACTTTGCAATGTGCATTATCAGCACAGTTCCAGGGCGAGATATCTCAATCAAATGTTAAATGCGACAAGTTTTATAAGCGTTTAAAGTTGATTTTCCATTCTCCTACAATCATCGTCAAAAGTGTTGGGAAGGTTGCCTTTTTTGCCTCTTCTTTTCCTTCCTCCCCCCGCTCCTGGCCCAATGTTGATCAAAACGTTAATGTTTGTGCGCGTAATTTTTCTGTTATATCCCAACATTGAACAGGGGGGACGGGGGATATTTAGCAAAAGAGAAAACTCTCTTTTTTCAGGATTAAAATGGACTACTGTTAAGTTGTACAGCCTTCCCAACTACTTTTGTCTGTGATTGTAGGTTAAAAGATTCTAACCTGAACATAATTTTGACCTTTAACCAGTGTGCAAAGAAAATCGTGTCCTGGCACGGATCCAGGTTTTCAGCATAGGGGGTTCGAAGAAAGAGGGCGCAGAAGGCCGCCCGCCCGTAGGGGGGTCCGGGGTATCCTCCCCCCGAAAAGTTTGAAATTTTAAGTCCTCGGAAACGCGATTTCCACCATTCTGAGGCAAAGTCGCGTGTTTTAACATCTCATTTTTTAAAGTTAAAATGCCATTCTTTTTGCATCAAAATATAACAAAACTGAGTAGAAACAATACAAATTTGCATTTATAAATCTATGATTAAAATATAACGCATTTTATCTTTTTTCAATTTTGTGTTTCGTCAAAGAAGGGATCAATAAGGAGCATTCTTCGGGGGTATCTTTCCGCAAAAAGCTGAACCACAGCATCGTAGTCAACGGGCTTTTCGTAGTGAATGTTCATCAGAGCCAAGCCTGAAAGGTGTAGCTATACAAAAAGTCACTTTTGACGTGATGCTTTACCGAAGCAGAGACAGTTAAAAGAGCCACACATTCATAGTGAACCAAAAATGTATTTGTTTTTATGGAAAAAATGTTATAGCTTTACTGGGCAGCAGAGGTTTAACTTGGTTATGAATTTATTGCATTTAAGATTGACTGTATTTATTTTATATTTCTACAAGTTTTGAGGTTAGCTGTTTTAATTTAGGGGGTTTGATCGAACCCTGCGAACCCCCCCTAGATCCGCCCCAGGTGTCCAATAGCCTGGGGCTTGTGGATTTTGCAATCAGGCCAGTGAATCCTGACAGTTCTTAACTTGCCCAAAGGGCAAGTTTTTTTTTTTTTTTGGGGGGGGGGAATTCAAAATACAGATGAACTGTAATCAATGCTACCCATCACAAATGTTTTGGGGCTACCTTAAGGTGACTCGACCCAGTTATTTTGTGAGGGTACCATCCTCCTTTGAAGCTCTCTGGTATCCCCACCTTTACTTTGATCCTAAGTCTAACAATAGCATGGATAACATATACATCAATCTACAATATAGCATAAAATTTTTGGCGATTGGAGTAAATGTCACGTGGTTATAGTGCCACGCCTCTTTGGGGTCTAAATCGAAATTCTGCTGTTGCCAGCATTTTTTCGTGAAAATCTCTCGGCTACATATAGTGGGTAGTAGTACCTTGCGTTGAACAGAGTTTCACCAAAATCACAAAGACCCAATGGGAGAAATGCAGCGGTTTCCAAATTTAGGCCATAATTTATGCGAAAATGATAAGCAAACTTTACACGATTATATCTAATAAACTATGAGATTTATCCCTTTATTTTGGGGATCTTTATAACAGATGGGTCCTTGCAAGTCAGCAGAAAGCTTTAGAGCCTTGTAAATGCACGATTTCGAGCAATGCAAGCATACAGAAATTATAGTTTTAGCTATTTGTTGACGTCTGTCAGCTTTTAAGAGTCCCTCTCACGAAAAAAGCATTTTCTTAAAAATTTGTAGTTTTTTTTCCTTCAAATTTTTTTAGAGCCACAACTGATTAACTAACTATCCGGATTCTGAATTTCATGGTCATTGAAAAACTGTGACATTATCTTCTATAAGCCCAAACTTGAGTAAACATTGAAGATTTTTAGCGTTTTGGATGAGTTTGTGCTTTGGGAGTTTTCTATTGTTTCTAGTCTGTCATGATACAGCATTCTTGTTCAGATGACCACGCTTGGCTGACTTCCAAATGCTCACCAAGATATGATGTGGGGGGCACCATACAAATGTCTGTGAATTTTTGCAACTTTGTGGAGCAATATCTTTGCGTAACCCTTTAAACCCTAAGATCAATATTTGAATTCTCATTTTTAGCCCCTATTTCATTTCCTACAGAAGAAGTCGGGAGAAGCTGATAAAATATCAAGCAAATGCATCTTGTGTGATCATGTCTGTAATTCTCATTACTACTCTGTTTTACAAAGCCTTGATATTACAAGGAGAACTTTGACACTGATCACTTTCAGGGCTTAAAGGGTTAAGGCCTACCACTCTCAAACTTGGCAAGTTTACTGATATTAAAGCACTCTTTCCAATGGTGTCACAGATTTTCTCTTACTGCTACATGTCAAAAGTTGAAAAAACTGTGAAAGGATCTATTCATTAGGGTCAGTGTTTGAAAATATCAATTCGTGTTAGGATCTTACAGCATAAATCTAGCTGTTAATACACAAAAGTGAAAACTGTAACCCGATTTGGCCATCATAGCGAATTGTTGCCCCCATTTACGACAGCTTTTGAGAATTGCACCCCCGCTGTAAACAGCTACCTACCCATCCCCGCTCCCCATATCTAAACTGAAGAACAAGTCCTTGATCATGCACATACATATTGAATAATTATTATTCAAATATGGCGTGCAAATGTAATTAAAAATGTTTCATTTTCTAGTTTTTCCCGCTAAAATCGTAAGATACGCTTTTCTTTGGCTGGCTCTTTCTCTTTCTTAAGTAAAGCATTATCTCGAGGAAGCATTGTGTTCTCGATCTCGACAAAATTAGGTCAATGGTTTACTTTCGGACAATCCTTGCGTGAGCAAGAGGTCTTTGAGGTGGCCCGTGCTTCTACGCGGAAAAAACATCCTACATAATATAACTAGTAAAGACTCACGTTATTAAGTTCTACGATCTCACCCAGCTTGAACTAACCCTTAACGGACTTTCGAAAAAGCAGGAAAAAGATGAGTCGCAAAAGCTCTTACCTCCAACTGATTTCTTCAGACTAAGTACGACTGGAGAGTCCGAGTGCTCAGACTTTGCATGCCGAAGCCGACCAGCTGAACTTGCGGGTTCTGTAATTCTTAAGAACTCTTCAAACAGTAAACATGCCTGCTTTTCGATATCCTCCAAGCTCTCCTCGGAGTTCTCAACTGGAGTTTTATGCGACTTGAAGTATGGCATACCATCCGCCATCACAAATTTGCGACTTTGCTTCCCGTACCAAAATTCTTCAGTTCCGTACTTGTATACGTTAACGACTGTAACAATTAATATCGTATCACATCTAACACTTATAAACGTAATATAGACCCCGGAAGATAATATTATTTCTTAGAAATCTGTGAAGTTCCCCCAAAAATTTCGTCATTGTGAAACCGTCACGTTTAAATTTGTCATGGAAAGCCGCTGACCGACTCGATTTGAGACCTCCTCCGATATCTTTCAACCCACCCGATTCACGCAACCCCTATGGGTGATACCCGCTGAAAATGCACCAAATTACGCGGGCATCACCCGCTGAATTACGTACTATAGTACGGGCAATATGGCGGTCCACAGGCTACACAACCATCTGTGCTTATATCCCAACATTGAACAGGGGGGACGGGGGATATTTAGCAAAAGAGAAAACTCTCTTTTTTCAGGATTAAAATGGACTACTGTTAAGTTGTACAGCCTTCCCAACTACTTTTGTCTGTGATTGTAGGTTAAAAGATTCTAACCTGAACATAATTTTGACCTTTAACCAGTGTGCAAAGAAAATCGTGTCCTGGCACGGATCCAGGTTTTCAGCATAGGGGGTTCGAAGAAAGAGGGCGCAGAAGGCCGCCCGCCCGTAGGGGGGTCCGGGGTATCCTCCCCCCGAAAAGTTTGAAATTTTAAGTCCTCGGAAACGCGATTTCCACCATTCTGAGGCAAAGTCGCGTGTTTTAACATCTCATTTTTTAAAGTTAAAATGCCATTCTTTTTGCATCAAAATATAACAAAACTGAGTAGAAACAATACAAATTTGCATTTATAAATCTATGATTAAAATATAACGCATTTTATCTTTTTTCAATTTTGTGTTTCGTCAAAGAAGGGATCAATAAGGAGCATTCTTCGGGGGTATCTTTCCGCAAAAAGCTGAACCACAGCATCGTAGTCAACGGGCTTTTCGTAGTGAATGTTCATCAGAGCCAAGCCTGAAAGGTGTAGCTATACAAAAAGTCACTTTTGACGTGATGCTTTACCGAAGCAGAGACAGTTAAAAGAGCCACACATTCATAGTGAACCAAAAATGTATTTGTTTTTATGGAAAAAATGTTATAGCTTTACTGGGCAGCAGAGGTTTAACTTGGTTATGAATTTATTGCATTTAAGATTGACTGTATTTATTTTATATTTCTACAAGTTTTGAGGTTAGCTGTTTTAATTTAGGGGGTTTGATCGAACCCTGCGAACCCCCCCTAGATCCGCCCCAGGTGTCCAATAGCCTGGGGCTTGTGGATTTTGCAATCAGGCCAGTGAATCCTGACAGTTCTTAACTTGCCCAAAGGGCAAGTGTTTTTTTTTTTTGGGGGGGGGGGAATTAAAAATAAAAATGAACTTAATTAAATCATACCCACCCAAAATGTTTTGGGGTTACCTTAGGGGGACCCGCCCCCGTTTTTTTTGGAGTCGGGAGGGGCGTCGGGGGGG